CTAGTCCCGCCTTGGCATGAAAGTGACCTTGGGCCAATCACCAGGAGACAGTGAGTTCTACTCCCACCGCACAAAAAGCGGGCCAGATCCCTTTTCAGGGTGTGTGCACATTTGTCTCTCTGTGTGTGTCAAGAGGTCAGCCTACCAATGGACCCAATGGCGCTAATCGCCAGCTCCTTGGTGCGCGGAGTTCCAGGGGAGGCCAAGGTGTTGAGCATCCTCTCCATCAGAGCTGGCAGGTAGGGCTCAATCTTGTCGTCTGTTGGGAGCAGAGAGAAATTGGTTAATAATTCAGTTATCCTGCCAGAATACAGGTAGTCTTCGCCTTACAGCTGTTTGTTTAGAGACCAAAGTTACTACAGCACTGAAAAAAGGGACTTATGACCGCATTTCACACTTAATGACCGCCGAAGCATCCAGTCAGTTGATTTACATCGGATGCAACCGACTCATATTTATGACAGTCGAAGTACCCCGGAGTCCTGCGATCCCCTTTTGCGACCTTCTGACAAGCAAAGTCAACGGGGAAGCCAGATTCGCTTAACAACCGTGGGACTAATTTAACCACTGCAGCGATTCAGCTTCACCAACGGGGTGAGAAGAGTCACAAAACAGGACAAATGTCTCCCTCAGCCATGTAGATGCAGAGCTCAATTGTTAAGCTAATTGGTAAGGTCATTAAGCCGAGGACCACCAGTACAGTTCAGTGACGCAGCTACCGAAGTCACATTTTATTATGCGTCTCGATCTGGGTCACTTTAAGGGAGGCGGACTTCAACTCCCAGAATTCCCCAGCCAGCACAGGAGAATTCTGGGAGTTGAAGTCCTCGCCTCTTAAATTTACTCCAGTGGAGGAACACAGCGTTAGGGGATTATCGCTAAAACGGTTACGGGGTGGTTCTCCACGTACGGCCGTTCGCTTAACGACCATTGGAAAAAAAAAAACACCTCATAAAATTGGATTGGTCCCGTGAGAATTTGCTTAACGGCCAGTAATTCCACGATTGATGACGGTCGTAAGTCAAGGACTACCCGTGCAGGCCACACAATGGGAACTAGGTTTCAGGGGTCTCACCCAGATTCTCTACAAAGTTCTCCAGGGCGTAGTAGGCCTTGGCCAGGTGAGTAGTGTGGGCCAGATCCACCTCTTCCAGGTAGTGCAGCAAAAGGGGCATAATTTCATCCGAAAAACGAACGATGTCCGGCTACGGTTAGGGAAGGAGGAGAAGAAGTGGGGGAGGGGGGGAAAAAAAGGAGAAAATTTCTGAGAATGCAACTCGACAAAAACCAAAGCACCACTCACCTGGATGACTGAGAGCCTCCATGGACATTGAGTAACAGCTTAACTTTCGCTTTTAATAATAAGCAATCGTTCAAACGATAAAATTGTTTTCTCCTTTCGGCATGGCTCACCTGCAGATTCTCGGAGAACTGGCCCAAGGCGAAGAGCGCAGCGTTGCGCACCACCTGGCTGTCGTCCCCCAGGCCTCGGCACACCACCTGCAGCATGGGCCGAAGGTGTCTGTGGACAGAAGGACGTGGATCTATAGGGAGGAGGCCAGAGCACGTCAAGGGAACCCCCGAGCCGAAATCCGTACCTGGGGGTACGATTTACGGCTGTGGGGTCCCTTAGGGGGTGCTGTAAGTCGAGGGCCGCGGGGCCTGATCGCGAACCGCCCGGTACGTACTTGTTACGGATGTGATCCCCGCAGCCTTCGGCTAACACCGCCAAACACATGAGCCCGGCCTTCCGATGGTAAGGATTAGGGCTCATAAGCGCCGGTTCCATCAGAGGGGTCTGGGGGTGGGAGCAAACAGACAGGAGTACTTTTAAGGCCTGGCGCCCCCCGCCGGCTTTGTTGTCATTCTGAAACACCCTGCGCCCCTTCCAAAATGCTCCTACTCACCAGCTGGGGGAAAAGCTTTTCAGGGGGCAGGTACAGCGCCAGCATGTCGATCACCTGGGGGGGGGGGAGAGGCAGAAGGAAGATTTGACGGGAGATCCTATAGGGTAGGGGGGTCTCCAATCTTGGGGAGTGTTAAGACGAGTGGACTTCAACTCCCAGAAGGCTAGGCTGGCTGGGGAATTCTGGGAATTGGAGTCCACCCCGTCTTAACTTTGCCAAGAGCGGAGATTGCTGCTTTACACTCTCACTTGACCCTAAACCGTCATCTGCTGTAGTTACTCTGGTTTGGACACAGTGTATCGTAGCCCTGCTGGGAATAAGCCATGATTTGTGGTTTCCTGCGCTAAGGGAACTCCACCCATTGCATCACACCCCACAAACTGCCGACTGAAGTGCAGCAGTCTTAAAAGTTTTTTTATTGTAGCTCTGCTGGGAATAAGCCAAGATTTGTGGTTTATTGTGCTGTGGGAACTCCTCCCACTGAATCATATTCCAAAATCACCAGCAAGTCCACCTGTCTTAAAGATGCCAATTTGGAGAGCCCTTACTTGACCCTAAACCTAAATCCGCTGTCAATTCTCTGTTTGGGCAAAGTGTATTGTCATGCCACACCATATAACTTTATATACTGCTGTTACCCTCTAGCCCCATCTAGTGGCCGGAGAGACAAATATGCTCCAAGTATATTGTTTTGAAGCTGACCCAACCCATTTTACCCACCAGCCCGCACTCTCAAACCAAGTGCACACTGGGCAAGCCCACATCCCACACACAAACCATCGCTGGTGAGATTTAAATTGCTTGCATTTATTCACTGCGATGTTCAGCAGTAACTTAACGGTCTATCTTGTATTTGGTTCTCACTGTATGTATCCCTGTTTTCCCCAGGTTCACCATATCCTGTTCTTCCACTAAAGCATTCAGATCTACGCACGCGGTTGTTTTATTGGAGGATAGGCAGGTTTAGTTGCATGTCGAGCTGCACGCATACTAACGTGTAGCGAGGACAGAACATGTATCATAGTTGTGCTGGGAATTAAGCCAAGATTTGTGGTTTCCTTTGCTGTGGGAACTCCACCCATTAAATCACACTCCACAAACTGCCAATTAAAGTCCAGCAGTTGCCAACTTGGACAGCGTTCACTTAATCCGCTGTTGTTTCTCTATTTTGGGCATAGCGTATCATAGCTTTGCTAGGAATACACCAAGATTTGTGGTTTATTGTGCTGTAGGAGCTCCGCCCATTGAATCACACTCCACAAACTGCCGACTTAAGCCCACCAGTCTTAAAGCTGCCAATTTGGAGAGCCTTTTTTGTGGCCCGTCGGCCGCCACCCCTCCAACAGCTGAAACAGAGGAGGAGGCGAAGGCATGGGAGTCAGGATTAGCATCAGGGCAACCTGGGAGCTCCGCGGGGGAAGAGGGAATGGAGCTGGCAGAGAGACAGAGCAGAGCCTGGGCCGTCCGTCAGCCCTCAGAGGGAGAGTCAACAGCCCCCAGGTCTGGAGGTGGCTGATGAGGAAGAAGAGGAACAGCCGGGTCCAGTGCCTGATGCATGGATGCCCAGAAGGCAGAGGAGAGGAGAGCAGTGGAAATCTATGGGCCGGTCCTCAGGACGGAAAATCCACTGCTGCTAGCGAAGCCCCACCCTAGCTCTGAGATAAAAGGCAGGGGGCGCAGATGAATAGATGTGGCAGACAACGATTCATCTTCCGGCCGGCCAGACTTGTTAGCCTGCGGTGAGAGAGAAAATTTTTGCCGGGGCTGCCGGGGCCCGTAGTTAAAGGAATCTCCGAGTTCACTTCAGAGGGTTCGTCGTGTTTCGGGAGCTGGGTCAGAACAGCTTCTAAGGCAAAAGACCCAGCTGGGATTCGAAGCAAAGAATTCTGGGAATGAACTGGGGGGAAGAGGAGCATCCTGGGAGTTGTGGACCCAGAGCCAGGGGGCCTAGAAAGCAGCTGGGAACGACACACAGGGGATTCTGGGAGGGAGAAGGCCGAACCCACGAACCCCGGGAAGAGAGGAGAGTTGAAAGTGAGAGATTGCTGCCCACCTCCCGCCGCCCGCAAAAAAAAAAAACCAGACCTGGACGGCGAAGTGCTTGGGTGACTGGACTTCCGCCTCATCTTCTATCTCCTCGCTCAACTTGTCCTCCATGTCCATCTGTCCCGGGGAGGGATCTGCACTCATGATGGGGAAGAGGGCGTTCAGGATGGGCGAGAGGAGTTTGTGCTTCAGAATGGCCTGCGGGGGGGGGGGGGGGGGGGGGGAGAAGTGAGAGGAGTGAGTGCCCCGTGGCAGAGGAAGGGGGGGGGCAGCAAGGTGCCCGCTGGGAGACGGAGGGAGTCAGAAGCAGCCCCTCCCCCACCCCCTGACCTTGCTCTTCAACTTGATGAGGTAGCTGATACAGGACAGCGCCTTCACCCGCAGGCCGTCGCTCAGCCCCTGGTTGGAGGCCACCTGTGGGAAAAGATGGAATTAGGTCTGGCCGGATCTGTCTGCAGCCAACAGGGGGCGCCATGGGAGTGGAGTGTCAGGAAAGAGGCGTGGCCAGCAGGGGGCGCCACGGGAGTGGAGTGAGTGTCAGGGAAGAGGCGTGGCCAGCAGGGGGCGCCATGGGAGTGGAATAAGTTTAAGGAAAGAGGCGTGGCCAGCAGGGGGCGCCATGGGAGTGGAGTGAGTGTCAGGGAAGAGGCATGGCCAGCAGGGGGCGCCATGGGAGTGGAGTGTGTGTCAGGAAAGAGGCATGGCCAGCAGGGGGCGCCATGGGAGTAGAGTAAGTGTCAGGGAAGAGGTGTGGCCAGCAGGGGGCACCACGGGAGTGGAGTGTCAGGGAAGAGGCATTGCCAGCAGGGGGCGCCATGGGAGTGGAGTGTCAGGGAAGAGGCGTGGCCAGCAGAGGGGCGCCATGGGAGTGGAGTAAGTGTAAGAAAAGAGGCGTGGCCAACAGGGGTGTGTGCCATGGGAGCGGAGTAAGTGTAAGAAAAGAGGCGTGGCCAGTATAGGCGACACCAGTGGACTGGCGCAGGTAGCAGGAGTGGGGTGTGGCCAGCCCATCCATGTCAGTCACCTCCAGGCAGAAATTCACGACTTCGGAGAGATGCTGGACCACGATGGCAACTTCAGTCTCCAGGAGTTCGTCAAAAACATCCATCGCTTCGCTTGCCTGGACCTGAAAGGTATTTTTGGGTGGTGGGGTGGGGTGGTGGTGGGAGGAGTTAGAAAAGAGAAAGTGGGAGGGGGGGGAATAGCACATTGCATTTGGAGGATGAGATCAGAGTTGGGGAACGATAGGCCCTTTCAGGGCTTGTGGACTTCAATTCCCAGAATTCCTGAGCCAGCTCATGGGCCTATTGTTTTTCACTCCTGGATTAGATGAATGCAGAAGAGGCCAGCAGCCCTTTCCAAACTGTTGCCCTCTGGACGGGGCAACGATTCCCTAGGACCCCTAAACCCAGCGGGGTCAACCAGAGCCCCCTAACCTTTCAGGATGGGTGGGATGGGACAGGCTGGAGGCCAGGTCTATCCCCCCATCCGTGGCTAGAATCCCTCAACCAGGTTGACCCATTCCTCAGAACTGGCATTCCGACCCCTGGGTGGCTTCAGAGAGGCAGGCTGGTCCTGGGGACCCAGAACCAGCTCAGGAGGATTGGTAGGAAGGGTTACGTCCTGCGACCGTGATAGCAAACCTACGGCACGCGTGCCACAGGTGACACACAGAGCCATTTGTGCGGGCACTCGAGCCCCAGGCAAACTTACATGTGCGTACCTCCTGGCTGATTTTCAGCCCATTTGAGGCTTTTTTCAGCCTTCCAGAGGCTTGAGGGAGGCTTCTGCAGCCTCTGGAGGCCAAAAAACAGGCCCGTTTTGTCACTTCCGGTAATGAAGAAATCCTTTTAGCCGGACAGGAATTAAGGTGGGAAAGAGGGGTTTGGGCAGAAGAGAGAAATCCCACACCAGGTAGTCCTCACTGTACAACAATTCACTTAGTGACAAAGTGAGATTGGCGATGAACGAAGGGATGTTTTTCACAGTTACGACCGTTGTGGCAATCCCAACGGCCATGTGATCAAAATTCGGAGGTCCCTGGCAACTGACTCGTATTTATGACAGTTGTATTGTCCCGGGATCCTTTCTGCGACCTTCTGACAAGGAAAGTCAAAGGGGGAAAAAGCCAGGTTCACTTCACAACCGTGTTGCTAACTTATTAATTGCAGTTATTCACTTAGCAACCATGGCAAGGAAGGTCGTAAAATGGAGCAAAGCTCACTAAACTGCACGACTTAGAGCAAGGGGAATTTTGGGATCAATTGTGGTCATAAGTTGAGGACTACCTGTATACCCCATTAATGGGAAGCCAGGAGGAAGTTTCCCTGAATATCAAACGTTTCTCAACCTCAGCCATTTTACGATGGACTTCAACTCCCAGAATTCCTCAGACCGTAGGCAGCTAAAAGCAAGCATTTTACATAAGTGCGCATACAAAATAGTACCTCATTCACGTGAATGAGTTCCCGGATGGCTGCTATCACTTTGGGCATCAGAGAAGACATCAGAGTCTGGAAGATAAAGGAGGAGAGAAGAATCCAAAGGGAGAAAACAATGGTAATTACACTTAAAACATTAAATCCGATTCTGAACCTCAGCCATTTTAAGATGGCTGGACTTCATCTCCCAGAATTCCCCAGCCAGGCCATTAAACCCTCGAGAGTTAACCAGGATTCAAAGGGTGTTTGATCTGAACCTCCTCATTTTACCCATGGATACAATTAAAGCATATGGCGCGTCATCGTCTTTTAACAACTTATAGGGGTAGAGTCTGGGCAATTGAATGGCACTGAGTGTTTACTGGCTGGATGCCCTTCCTGTCGCCAATGCGTAGTTATATTCCGCAGATATATTCTCATCGCGACCAAAGAGAGAAATATCTGCCTCTGTCTAGGATCCAATTCACAGCCTCCCAATTGTGAGGCAGGAGCTCCACCGCCAGGCCACCATACCGCTAAAATTAAAGCATACAACTGATCCACCGAAATCTGATCCACCAGAGACCCAGTTTTTTTTTTTAAAAAAGAGATTATTTTCCCAAACAAAGATCACTGTGTAATCCAGAGGGGAAGATTGAGAAGTTCTCTGGATCAGCAGCCACTGCCAATACAGCTGGGAAGGCGGGTTGGGGGGAGGCTCAGGAGCGTTGAGAGGGCCACAGGTTAACCAGGATCTGGTGGCGGAGAGTTCCCCTGACCCTTTGAACTACGTTCGACCGACAAGATCCTCCGAAGGCTTCGGCCTCAATAACAGGAAGAGTTAAAAACGGAGAGGTGGGACGAAAGAGGAGGAGGAGGAGGAGGAGGAGGGTCTACCCACCACTTCGTTGGAGCTAAACCCGCCAATCATGGCACGTAAGCTCCGGAGGGAATAGTAGAGGACAGCCGGCTGACTTCGGTTGTTGAGTAACTGATGGAAGAGGCGCAGAATGTCTTTGTAGTAGGGACAGAATTGGTCTGGGTCCAGATCCAGGGTGGATTGGAGAAGTAGCAACGCCATCTGCAAACCAAAAGGGGTTGAGGGAAGGGTTGGTCTAACGGTCAGAGCACCCGGTTAGACGCCGGGAAATAGGGAGTTCTAGTCCCGCCTTAGACCAGAAGGCCAGCTGGGTGACTTTGGGCCAATCACCAGGAGGCGATGAGTTCTAGTTCTGCCAAAGCCAGCTTTGGGGTGGGGGGGGGACTTTGAGCCAATCCCTCTTTCTTAGCCCAACCACCTCACAGGGTTGTTGTTGTTGTTGTGGGGGAAAATAAGGAGGACGGAGTATTGTTAGGTATGTTTGCTGCCTTGAGCTCCTTGTAAAAATAATTAAAGCTGGGATATGATAGATATACAGATGATATACAGAGGTAGGAAGGGAGAGAGAGAGGGGGAAAGATAGATAGAGATAGATAGATAGATAGATAGATAGATAGATAGATAGATAGATATAGATATATATACACACACACACAGACACACACACACACACACCATAGATAGATGATAGCTGGGTAGGTGGGTATGTAGGTATGTAGACAGACAAATGATATACAGACAGAGGTAGGTAGGGAAAGAGAGATATATACCATAGATAGATGATAGCTG